CTCTCGAAGCTTTGCCTCACTTGGCCCAAGAACCCACACGAAACAGTCACGCGAAGAGAAAACAGAACCCTGCCTTGTGAACCCTAGGCCCTAGGCCCTGCGCTCTATGAATGAGGTCTGTGTTCTATGAACCATTCCGATGCTGCACTAATGAAACATGTGCAAACATCCAAATGCTTGTGATGCCGAGCAACTTGCATGTTGAAGTAGACCTTCCCCTTGCTTTCATCTGCAGACTGTACTTCGAACATGTTGAAGCCCAGGACTTTCACACTCTTCGGAAGCTGCAGTGTCCTGTGTGTGTGATCATGTTGCCGTCGACCCCTTCCCAGTCTTCGGCAGTTGAAAGGGTCAACCTCTGGACTTCAACATCATCTTCGAGACGTAGGTCGAGGGCAAGGAGCATGTGCACTTTTGCCTTCTTCCAAGCTGTCTCAGTTTCATAGTAGCCATCCTGACCAGGGTTAAGCTTTTCTCTCCCATGTTTTATCCTCAAGATATTTGACGATTGTCGACGTTTAACGGAGAAGAATTCAAAACCCCTGTGGCATCTATTGAGGACAGGAGTTTTTTCTGAGCGCCGCCTCAACCGAGTCAACAAAGGTCGCGCGGATGAAGCGTCCCGACAACTCCGGAAGCGGTGGTAGTTGTTCTGCGCCCTTTGGCGCTGACATGGTGAAACATTGGATGCTCGAGGTCTGATGTGTGTGTGTGTATTGCTGAGTCATTGTTGTTTTCAGTACTTGTGTGTATATCTCGTTTGCTGGATGTGAGATGTAAACAGTCAAGCATTGGCGCATCTCTCAGCTGGCTTGTTTCTGTTTTTTCTGTGGCTCTCTGACAATTCGAGCCCAATGAACGTCTTTGGCAACAGAGGTTGGCTTGTCTCAACATCAAGCCACCGAGGAAAGCACCATAGTTGCAAACAGACCTCACCAAGAGCACTTTCAAGCCAAGCCACTTACCATATGGGCCCAGGAGGCACCCAAGGAGGTAGGTTCCACTTCGGGGTCCCAATACTAGGGGCTGGTGGCGAAAGCCTCCTAGTGCAGGGTACAGGGTTGAGGGCTTGAGGGTTGAGGCCAGACCCTGAACCCTAAACCCTAAAATGGGTTGCAGTTTGCTTTTTGTTGTTTCGGCGTAGGGCTTCGGGTTGCCCAGAATGGGCTGCGGGGCCATGGGCTTTACAGCCACTTGGCAAGCGCCAGGAGCCTTCTGTCCTGAACGCCGAACTTCGTAAGTCCGCTGAAGCTTCAAAAGGGCGATTCTCCAACTTAGGATCCCTTTTTGGGGAAGTGATTACGAGGGTGACGTACTTTTATAGGTGGAAGGAAGGTTTCAGGCTCTTGTTCTTTGCGCCTTCCCACGTCTCACGTCCAGAGGTCGCAAACATGGCAAGGGCCTTAATGCGCACTCAACAGGTAAACCCTAAACCCTAAACCCTAAACTTTAAACCTCAAACCCTAGACCCTAAACCATAAACCCTAAACCCTAACCCTCAAACCCGGTATTCGAGGCGTCTCCTCAGCCAAGCCTTGGCGTGAAGCCTGACTCTGAGAAACCAAGGCAGCAAAGTTGGGTAGCATTACAAGTTTAGGGTTTAGGGTTTAGGGTTTAGGGTTTCTCCTAGGAGGTGCATAAGAGTAACCTCATCAGCTTCTTTCAGGCGTCCCATCATGGAACGTCCATCAGGCATGCGCAAGAATTTCGCCTCGGGCAATTTACAGGCATTCGCCGTGCGAATAAAAAAAAGCACCTCCTGCCAGGAGGCAGTGGGGAACCACGGAGCCTGCATGTGCCTGAGCCTCAGAGGCAGTGAGTGTGCTTATTTTTTTGGGGGTGAGCTCCAGGCTAACCGCTCCTACAGCCCGACAGTAACTGCTCAAATTAGAGAACTTCACACCCTAAATCATCAGGAATAAGGGGTCTCAGTCATAACGTCTACAGCCTAGGCTCTCACAAAAGGGTTTGTTTGGGGGTTTCAGGCGTTTAGGGATTTCAGGGATCCAGTTAGGATGTCTGTGCAGTATCTAAGGGCCTTCCACGACTTTGGGGCTTTATGAACATAAGGGAACCCTACAATAGACCCCACACGTACCCTTGTTTCGGAAACCCCCCCCCCCCCCCCCCCTTTGTCGCAGGGCTATCCGACGCGTGCTGAGCAGCCTGCAGCCATCGCTGGCACCTGGCCCGGGAGCACATTAATCGGGTTCCTGAGGGTTCAGGGTTAAGGCTTAGGGTGTAGGGTTTAGGGTTCGGGTTTGGGGTTTAGGGTTTAGGGGGGAGGGGTATGTAACCCAAGGTTCACCAACATACTCCCCATTACTCCCTAAGGCTCCCTACGGTTCCCCAAGGTTCCCTAGGTACCTACCGTAAACCCTAAGCCCTAAACCCCCTCTATCGTAAACCCTGAACCCCAAACCCGGAACCTCTCTGTCTACAACCCTAAACCTAAACCCTCATTAAACCCCAAACCCCAACCCTAAACCCCAAACCCCAAACCCCCAGACCCCAAACCCTAAACCCCAAACCCCAAACCCGAAACCCTAAACCCTAAACCCTAAATACTGCACCGGCCTGGCAGACCGCACTTGGGCACGGCGGCGCTTTTCTCAGACGCCCGCGTCTTGAGTCGACACGTTGCGAAAGACCGGAGAAATGAGGGATGGGTTTAGGGTTTAGGGTTCAGGGTTCAGGGTTTAGGGTGGAGGGGCTAGGAGTTCAGGGTTTAGGGCCGAGGGGGGAAGGATACAGAGTTCCGGGCTTAGGGTTCAGGGAAAGGACTTGATTCATTGATGGGCGCGGAATGCCCTACCTGGCTTTAATTGGTTAGTCCCTGCTTGGTTTTTGCCCTGCATTTCGGGGTGATAAAGTCCCGTTCCACCGTTGCAGTTTAGGGCTTACGGCTTAGGGAGTTTACGGCTTAGGGTGCTGCGATCGAAGTGCCGTGGTGGCAGAATGGGTTCTGTCTCGAGGCCCGGCAGCACGTTGACTCTTCCCAAAGGCTTTATAGGGTGGGGTTAAGGGTATTGTTGCCACCCGTCTAGCCACAGCACTGCGAGGTCATCTGGTCTAGGGTTTATAGGGTTTATAGGGATTAGGGTTCAGGGTTTAGGGTGTGTGTATAATCAGTGATCAACTCACAACAACGAATGGGCAAACCTTCTCTTGCACCTCGCCGAAGTGCTACAAGTGATGGGAACGGAATTGAAGCAGCACTTCATTCCGATGCTTCTAAAAACCTCTTAGTTCACGTAGTAACTTCAGGCCTCTATACCGAAGATCCACTTAAGGCTGCACATGCAACAAGGGATGCCCAACTTCTCCGCCGAATCTTGTACTTCCATTCTTCACACCCTTTCTCGGGGCGAGGGGCTTGGCATTGGGGGGGGGGGGGGGGGGCAGAACTCTTTTCCACCGCCGAAAGGCGATCAAACATGATGCAGCCTGAGGAACTGCATCCCCCCTATGGGGGGGAGCTCCGCTCGCTGCAAAAGCTTCGGCTACTTGCTTCAGAACCTCCCCCTAAACATTCTAGAATAGCAATCCCTATGTTGCCCTTTTGAGGAAGCACATCTCATTTTTTTTTGGGGGTGGTTCTTAAGCACATCGTAAGTAACGTACCAGGGCACACCCTAAACCCTAAACCCTAAACCCTAAACCCTAAACCCTAAACCCTAAACCCTAAACCCGAAACCCCTAAACCCTACACCTTAACGTCGGTCCGGTGGCTTCAAGGGGACCCAAGGTCCCCGAAAAGTTCCCAGCACACCCTAAGGCACAGCTTCCCGAATGTTCCGCACCCTACCCCCTCCGAACCCCCCTCCCTTAAGAACCCTATAGTACAAGTAGAAGTTGAAGAATCATAACTTTAGCTATAAGTCCCTTGAATAAAGTTAGTATAGTAAAAGCCACCCCCCCCCCCCATGAGCTTGGACTCTGTACATGCTTGAGATTGTACCCCTTTGACCCTGAACTTGATGAAAAATCCAAGCCTCCATTTCCTTAACCTTAAACCCTAAACGCCTTAATCCCGCACACCCTACTAAAAGCCTTAAGCTCTTAAGCAGCCGAGACATGGGTTTAGGGTTTAGGGCTAGGGTTTAGGGTTTCGGAACCCTCGCTCCTGAAACCCAAACCCTACGAACCTTGAGCTCAGAGCCTAAAACTGCAAGCTGGACTGGACCACCCTAAGCATCCCTAAGCCCTCTTAACCCTAAACCCTAACCCTAAACCCTAAACCCTAAACCCTAAACCCTAAACCCTAAGAGCGCCCCAAGCCATCAATTGCGGCTCAACTCCTCAAAGGCCGATCTCTGGGCACGCGATGTCCTCGCACGGGAGCTTCCCAGGTGCAACGCAGGACATCGGCCTCAGGGTTTAGGGTTTAGGGTTTAGGGTTTAGGGTTTAGGGTTTAGGGTTTAGGGCCTCAGGGTTTCTCAGGGCTCGGGGTGTTGGGGTGTTGGGGTTTCAGGGTTTTAGGGTTTTCGGTACACTTCTCGATTTGTGCGTTTTAGGGTTTTAGGGTTTCAGGGTTTTTAGGGTTTTAGGGTTTTTGGGGCTTTGGGAGTTTTAGGGTTTTCGGCGCTTCTAGGGATATGCTTTTGGGGGTGTCCGGGCTTTTTCTGCTTAATGATTTCGGGGGTTTTAGGGCCTGCCAGGGCTCAGAGGGTTCGGGTGCTGTTTGGTGTTCTTTGGTGCTTCGCCTGTAGGTGCCGGAGAAGTCCACGAAAGGTGCCTTCCAGCCCTTGCTGAAGCCCACCCTGGCTTGCCAGTCCTCTGGTGTTAGGGTTTAGGGTTTAGGGTTTCGGGTTTAGGGTTGGAGGCTTCTTGAGGCTGCGTTGTGGACTCTGGTGGAGGCTTTCTGTGGCTTCGATTGTGGCTTCGAACTCGCAATTGTTTTGTTGTTTTTTGTTCCACGGCGTTGGGACTTTCTTGGTAAGGTTTTGGGGCTTAGGGTGCTGTTTTTGCGACCCGCCTACTAGGGCTTCAGGTTTTTTTATGGCCACATGACGCCGTCGGCCCGTTCGGAGCGCCGTCGCACGCGTGGGTCCTGCATTGAAGTTGCCAGGAAGACCGCCTCCTTGCCAGCGCCCTGAAACGTAATGGGGTCTGACTGGGCTTCTGGGGATGTGCTTAGGAGTCGGGAGCCAGGAGGGTTCGTACTTTTGCTTGATGCTCTGCCAGCTGTCTAGTTTGGGCGAGCTTCATACTACGAGATTGTGGGTTTAAGCTTGGGGTAGGCGGGATGTGCGTTCTTGGCTCAGGCGTCAAGATCTCAGACTGTGTCAGAGCCCTCCCCCAACATCTGAACATTGTCTGAACATAACAAAACGTGCCTCTAGTGGGGAACTGGGCCTGTGCAAACTAATTTGATTGAGCTAGCGCTTTGCAGGACAGTTAAGCGCATGTGTTGTCAGTATCACGACCATAGTCAGTCAGCACAACCACGTCAGCCGCGAACTTTCAAGTATAAACACCACAGCAGTCCAGGTTTAGAACTGGACACCTCACACCCCCGACCTGATGCTCGTGAAGCACATCGACCCCAAACCTCATGAGCCCTGGCACACACACCCAGCCTTCACCATGGGGTAAGACAGGTGGGGATGGTCGTGGTTCCAGTGAGTGCCCCATCCCAGGATCCGGCCAGAGGCCGTGCGCGGCGTTCCGGGACACTGTGACGGAACGTACACCTTGCAGGGTGCAAGTTGACTTCCAAAGTGCCCTCAACCCTCAACCCGTAACCGCCACATGCAGCGATTATTGATTCTACACTTCTCCACATATACTGGGGGAGGGGTGATTGTTGGAATGCACCCGTTTACCGCGGAAAGTCCTAATTACCAAGTCTGTAAATTACTCATAGGCTCCATGCGCAGCATCTCATGCTGCACGCCCGTCCTCAAGCCCTGTGTAGAGGAGGAGGTCCTCATGGTTCGGGAAGCCATGGCAGTAGTGCCTCCGTGGCCAGTAGCCCACAAGCTGCTTGCTTTCCACGCGGCCAGTTTTTCGGTAGTTCGTGTCAAGAGGTGCGAGGTAGAACTCCACTCGCTCCGGGACGCCTTGACTAGGTCCAACCGTCTGGTAGATGAAGACCGACCGCACCTCTTTGGTGCTGTACACACCCAGGGCAGGGGTACCGGGGTAGTGGACGAAACCCCCCCAGTGATCGTAGTGGTTGCCGCCTTCACAGTCATCTTTCGGCAGGTACGCGTTCGGCGTCGAGTAGACGAAGAGCCGAGTCCCAACAGTTCCACCACCATCTGGGTCGCTGGCCAGCCAGCCTGCTTCCATACTGACCGGGAGCTCTGACTGAGGGGGTAGACCCTTCCACCACATTTGGTTGAGAGTGTGTCCGCCGGAAGTTGGCACCTCTGGCACCTCTACTGAACTCGGAAGCCCCAGGAAGAAGTACGTAAATTTAGCTGTTTCTGAGGAATGACGGTACCCCAAAAACTAAAAAGTATTCCCAAGAATCCCTACAGTAAGGCACTGGCAAGGATCCACCGACCTCTAGGATGGTAAAGGCCTGGTGGCTGTCGTGCGTCTTGCAGATCGGGCTGGTGGAGTAGGTGTAGTTGGGTGGGCCGGGGTGTGGCGGCTTGATCGTCCTGCAGACAAGAACCTCACAACCAATAGCCATGCTTTCAAAACACACATTTGAGTTCCCAACTTTGTTTCGAAGCCCTCTATCTAACCTATCCCCCGTCTCCCCGAGAACAGCCATCCCGAAGACTAGAGCCCCTAGAAACCCCGAAATTTCCCCGAACTCAATCGTCCTGCAGTCATGACCCTCGCTCTGCAGCAGAGACAGCTGCGGGCGGCTACCGGTGGCCGGCCACAGCCCTCCAGCGTTTGCGGCTAGGGTTTCGGGTTTAGGGTTTAGGGTTTCGGGTTTAGGGTTTAGGGTTTAGGGTTTCAGGCTCAGATTTGTGTAGATTGATTGAGATGGCTTGCTCCTAGCCAGCAATCACAAGCAGGCCCTTATCCAGGTCTGCTTGAGGTTCAGAACTCAGAAGGGATCCTCACCTAAAGAAAACGGAGAATGAGGGCACTACGAAGCATCCGAGGCTTCCTCACAAAGAAGAATTCTCTACGTAGTAGCTCTCCTGCATATGTTCGCAAGGCCCATAAATGGGTCAAGGAACCTTGGTATCTGAACACTTGAAAATCCCGGACGCCCGACTTGCACCAGATTGCTGGAACACTGCGCCCTCCTGTTACAACGACACGTAACAGATTGGGCAGCTTTTGTTCGAGCTCTATTGTCTGTAAGGGGCCATAAAGTGACAATACAGGTGATTATGTAGATTCAGCCACGTCGCTACATCTGAAAGAACAGTAGCCAGGTATGGCGTTTATGCATCCCTTGAGAAGGCCCCAACAGGACCATGACTCCGAGCTGCGCGTGCCGCGCCTCCGGTGGGGCTTCCCGTCTTCCGGAACTCCTGCACCAGGCCCAGGCGGAGCGCCTGGGCTGGCTGAAGGGCATCCTTTGGGATTAAATGATTTCATGGGTTCCGCTAATGCCCCCGTCTATACGGGGGAACCTAGAGGGGGGGTGGTGTAGAGGGGTAGTAGGGAAACCCATGATTTTTGAAGCCATTTGAAGGGTTTGGGGTTGAGGCTGCTCGGTTTTCAAGGCTGTTTTGAGCTCAAAGGCCTCTGAACCGTCAACTCAGCCTTCCAGCTTCCCCCAAACCCTAAACCCTAAACTCTAAACCCTAAACCCTTTTACATGCACGTCTTCATACTCAGACAAATGCGAAGACAGGAAATACGTGGCTCTCCGGGATCGTCCGACATATGGCGTCTCAGATAGTCGTTCGCTTCTTCTGTAGTGGATTGCATCCCAGGCGGCGTGCAAGCTGGGACGTGGGAGCGGGATCTCGTCCCGTGCGCAGCCGTAGTACTCCATGTTCTGGTCCTGTTTATTTCTCGGGTACTCAGGAATGTAAGGTTCAGGGTGAGCGCTAAGGGGTGAGCGCAAAATGGCCTGAACAAACGGGGCACATCCCAGAGAAACAGTGGCCTGTACTCTACTCAACATGAAAACCATCGGCAAATCTCGGGGCGAAGAAAAACCTTTCTGCACCAGGCCTGCGCTACGCAAAACCCCCTAAACCCCCTAAAAAACCTGCAAACCCCTAAGCCCTCAAAACCCTCCACACTCTCAACCCTCCCACTTAACCCTCTAAACCTGCTACACGCCCCTCAACCATCTAAACCCTCCTCTTACCCCTCAACCCCTTAAACCCTCCTCTTGCCCCAAACCCTCCCCAACCCTGCCCTTCTTCGAACCCTAAACCCTAAACCCTAAACCCTAAACCCTAAACCCTAAACCCTAAACCCCAAACCCCAAACCCTAAACCCTAAACCCTAAACCCTAAACCCTAAACCCTAAACCCCCAAACCCTAAACCCTAAACCCTAAACCCTTCCTCGAACTCTTCGGACTCTGCCCAGAGCTCTAGCGCCTCATGCCTTACCATTGGGAGCTTCTCTCTCCAGACAAGATACTCGACACAAGAGTAACCTAGGAATGGCAAGTGTTATGAAAGGGTTTAGGGTTTAGGGTTTAGGGTTTAGGGTTTAGGGTTTAGGGTGACCCAAGAGTAACCTAGGAATAAACAGGGTGCCCTTTTTGGTCTGAAGGGGCGTCTAATAGGGAACCGAAGCCTTGTAAAACTGATGGCCCAGTCTGGGTTTCAGGATGAGACTGACAGAAGGCAAACTTCTCTGACTCTGAGGTTGTGAACAGGTGTACGGCCTCATGCTTCTTTCTTCTTCAAGGGATTGTTGGTTTAGGTTTTCCGAAGCCCTAACAGGGCCTCGACAGAGTTTAGGGTGTCGACTCCGGGCTTGCAGTTTAAGGCCCATACCTTGTTGCTCAATGATCGGGTTGGACGGTTTAGGGTTTATAGGCTTCAGGGTTTACTGCGAATCCCTTATGTGAGTGTGTGTGCGTGTGTGTGCGTGTCGAGGTTTGAGGAAGTGTGGCCGGTGCGTGGCTCAGGGTTGTCGCGCTTGCAGAGCTTTGGGGCTTCGGGTCCGTTCAGGTCCCTCTTCCACGCTGCAGCCTAAACCCTCAACCCTAAACCGGGTTCAAGCTGATTTTTTCGGCTTCTTCAGCCCCTCATAACATAGACACCCCTCGATACGGGCCTAAGGGCCTACGTGCGGTGGGGGGGGGGGGGGGGGGGCTGAGGGTTCATAATGTTCGAAGGTCTAGGGCTTAGGGTTTAAGGGTTTGGGGCTTAGGCTTTCCACCCCTTAACCCTAAACCCTAAGCCCTAAACCCTAAACCCCTACTGCGTCCAGCCACTTCTCCTCCCTTGTTGCCCAGAGCAGTGCAGGCTGCTTGAGGAATGGCACGCAGTCAACCACTTGCCCTAGGTCAGTGGGTGCCTGAGACAAGGCTGGCACAGCCCTTTAGGGTTTAGGGTTTAGGGTTTAGGGTTTGGGTAAACCCTGAACCCTTGTTGCCCTAAACCTTTTTGGAACCCTGTCTCGGACGAGGTAGCTGGGAGAAACCCTTTGTTGAGCACGGCTGCCGGCAACCTGACAGCAGAGCCTTCCCGCGATCCAAACCCTAAACCCTAATCCCGAATCCCTATTTATCCCTAATCCTTGAACCTTAACATGGGTTCCCACCAACGGGACCTCACAAGCACGGGTCTATGATGAGAGCGTTTAGGGTTTGGGGGTTCTGGTCTTGAAAAGAGAACTCATGGCTTGTAAAGGGCCTGGGAGGGCCCTGCTATTGGAAGCCTGCCTGCGCATCAACCCCCGCGAACTCAAGACCCTCAAGCCTACACCGCGTTTGCCTGGACCCGAAACCCTTAACCCTAAAAACCCTAAACCCTAAACCCTAAACCCTAACCCCTAAACCCTAAACCGTGAACAAAGCCTGAACATCCCTGAGGCCAGATGGTTGCATCTGGCGGGCGCTCCGCGTGATCTCAGAGCCAGCCTCCCTGTAGTACTCGACGAAGCGACGCCGCAGCGCAGTAAGCTCGTTGGGCACAGAAGCGCGGGTCAACTCTTCCAGGAAATCCAGGATGCTCAGGTTCTGACAGGGCACCGAGATTTTTGGGCGATGTCTGCCCTAAACCCTAAGCCGAGGCACTTTGGCTTGCAAGTTCAGGGTATGTTGCTCAGCTGTCTCCATGTCTCCCCACGCCTTCTTCCAGTTTTGCTGTGATGCTTACAAGTTCAAGGTAGCCTTAGCATGAAAAGTGCCCGACGTGTTGGCACGTCGTGCCAATCCCAACCAGGGCCCTTTGTGTGTGCAGTGGCGCATATTATGTGTGCGTGCGCGTGTGCGTGTGCGTGCGTGCGTGCGTGCGTGCGTGGGTGTGTGTGTGTGTGACATGGTGACATTGTGTGACTATAGGTTGGTGCAACTACCTGTATCCTACAAAAGGGTGGGGCGTGAGCGTAGGGCTGAGGGTCTCATTGGATCAAAAGAAGGGATGGACACCTCAACTCCAAACCCTCTAGACTAGAGCCCTACACCCTTCTGAGCCTGGAAGCTGCTTCAACCCCAACATCCTATAAATCCCAAACCCACCTGAGCCAAGGGCACCGTCGGATTCATCTGCAAGAGAGCCCCCACCTTTGAAAGGATTGTTTTTCTTTGTTCTTCATGGTTTCTATTTAATATTATATATAAATAGTTTTTTTTTTTTTTTTTTGTTTGGGGGGGGGGGGGGGTTGGGGTAGGGTTCAACTCACATGGGGTCTGTACGGGTTCACGCAGGGTTTGAGCGCACGCTCGGACCCTCCATGCCCGGCATGCTGATCCAAGGGTTTAGGGTTTAGGGTTTACTTGTTTTGAAGCATCCAGAAAAACTTGTTGAACCAAAACGGCTTGTGTAAAGCCCTAGGCCCTAAACCCTAACCCCTAACCCCTAAACCCTAAGCCCTAAACCCTAAACACGAAAGTTGCTGCACTGCCACCTCCTCCTCTGAACATGCGGCCGTGGCATTCCTCGATGTGGCCCAAGCACCAAGGGCCTCAACTCCAGACGACAGGCTGTGGCAAGGTTCATGAGACCTCGGGTTCTGGGGTTTAGGGTTTGGGGTTTTGGGTTTTGGGGTTTAGGGTTTAGTTCTAGTGCGTTTATGGCGAATTGCCCCAAACGCCATGTGGCTTGCAATGGCTTACAACTCCAATTGCCAACTATGGTACACCCGCCTCGACCTCCACCCCATACAGCCCAAATGCCATGCCGAATCCTGAAACTAAAAACTAAACCCTAAACCCTAAACCCTAAACCCTAAACCCAAGTATTTTAAGGCCCAGCTATTTCCTATTAAGGTACATGGGCCCTTAGGGTGTGAAGCCTAAATCCTGAAGCCCTAAATCCCTGCACCCTGAATCTGTTTAGGCCTCCGCACCGCTGCCCGCTTCGACTGATCTCGTGAGCCCTCTAGAAATTCCAGGGTTTAGGGTTTAGGGTTCAGTAGTCTTCGAACAAGACATGAGGTATGGAAGCATGTAACATCGATTGCACACCCTCTGAACACAGTTTTACCCATGCAGCAAGCCTCAACCCTTTGTGCAACGGGCTTGGTGCGCCCCACAAACCCTTGCTGTCTGTGGCAGGAAGCCCTTTTTGCCCCCCAAGTCTCTCTGACGTGCCTTTCCTGCCCTAAACCCTAAACCCTAAACCCTAAACCCTAAACCCTAAACCCTAAACCCTAAACCCCAAACCCCATTTTGTTTTACATCAGGAAAAACCGAAGCTCTCTTAGTAAGAGGGGCCCTTCCCTTTGGACAGCCCAAGTTGCGGCAAGCGCTGTGAAGAGGAAAGCCCGCGTCATGAAGCACCTTGGCGGTTAGGGTTTAGGGTTCAGAGTTTAGGGCATGTGGAGTCCTTCACTCCCCCTGCCCCCGCTCCCCCCCCCCGTTCTCTCTCCCTCCCTCTCTCTCTCCCCCACTCTCTCCCTCTCTTCCTGTCTCTTCCTTCCTTCCTTCCTTCTCCCTCTCTCTCTCTCCTTTCCTCTGTCTCTCTCTCTCTCTCTCTCTCTGTCTCTCGTTTGCCCTAAACCCTACGCCCTACAAGCCTTACCCTAAACCCTATTCCGGGCGGATGTCGCAGTTTTCCCTGGGTTTTGCCCTCCGGGGTTGTCATCGCCCGTCCCGATTTGCGGAAGGCGAAAGCGAGGGGTTTGGGGTTTGGGGTCTTGGGGTTTGGGGTTTTGGGGTTCGGGGTTCGGGGTTTGGGGTTCGGGGTTCGGGGTTTGGGTTTTAGGGTTTGGGGGTTTGGGTTTTCGGGTTTGGGGTTTATAGGGTTTCTAAAAGGGTTTACGGTGTAGGGTTTCGGGTTTGGGGTTTGAGGTCGGTTAATGGGGCTTGGGGTTCAGGGTTTAGAGTTTAAGGCTTTATGGTCTATGGGGTTTGTGGCGTTTGGCTTGCTTCTTTTGCCACCAGCCTAGCTGACACTCAGGCCACATATAGCGTTTGGAGTTTAGGGTTGAGTCATGTCAGAACAGCCCGTTTAAGGAGGGGCTTGTTCGAGTTACGGTGCCCGAAACATTGGTTTTGTCAGTGCTCATGAATCAAGTTGAAAGTCGCAGAGATACCGTCGCAGTTGAGCTATTATGCCATCATGTCTCCATCAATGACAACCCTTTTCAAGGAACTGGCAAGCGTAAGGTTCTGGAAGTTGCACTCAGCTGCGCACGGAGGTACGGTAGGTCGGAAGCTGACGCAACGATGAGCAACAGAGCCAGCAACGGATGCGCTTCAGGGATTAGGGTGTCTAGGGTTTAGGGTTTTGTGGTCTTGGGGCTTTGCAGGGTTCAAGGAAATGGCAGTTCTCCCGGCACTACGGAACAGACGGCAAGAGACCCTATAATATCGCCCTATAAACCCTTTTCGAGCCAGGAGCCTGGCACATGCCTGGAAGTGAACCCTAAAGCCTAAACCCCGAACCCTATAACCCCCAAACCCTAAACCCTAAACCCTGTGCCATGGACATCCATGGACCAATGGAAAACAAGCTTTGTGATAGTTGCTTGGACCCCGCCAACACCAGACAAAATCAAGCGAAAGCCGTGTTGGATCATATACCCAGACCCCTGACAGGACCGGCCGTAAGGGCTCCTAAAAAATGACCCAACAGTAGTAGTATGGGGTACTATTTTGGGGGCTCTACTTTTTGGATCCTCCGAGGGGTCTGGGTAACATAGGGGCCTGAATAGGGTTTTTTGGGGGGTTATTGTAGTATAATGATAAAGGGACCCTTAAGGAAACAAAATTAGTAACTCTTCCGACCCTATAACCCTAAACCCTAAACCCTAAATATCGTGCGTGCCAGCTTGGCATCAGATGACCGCGAGCTTCTTTTCTCGAGCAGTTGAAGCAAGCTGCGCGCGTAGAACCTGAGCAGTCGGCGACCCCAAGTTGTCACAGGATTAGGGTTTAGGGTTTAGCGTTTAGGGTTTAGGGAGCATAAACCCTACACCCTAAACCCTTAGGGTTACGGCAGCGCTTACGGCATGCTGTGCGACTGCATCGTATACCTGGTGGCAGCCCTCGGGCGATCTCCCGGCATCTACGGGGTGCCGAGTGGAAGTAGTTCTTTAAGACGCAGCTCTAGCGTTCTGCTCTAATCTCTTGCAGCCAACCCCAAACCCCAAACCCCAAACACCTTGAAACCCTAAACCCTAAACCCATCCTATTCTGGGCGCAGAGATGTACATCCGAGGTGAGGGATGCTGAAGGCATCGCAACAAAGTTATGCAGGGCATGGCAGGCCTCATGGTAGTTGGGTAGGGTTAGGGTTTAGGGTTTAGGGTTTAGGGTTTAGGGTTCAGGGTTCAGGGTTCAGGGTTTCGGGTTTCGGGTTTCGGGTTGAGGGTTGAGGGTTTAGGGTGTAGGGTGTAGGGTTTAGGGTGTAGGGTCTTTCGGTGTAGGGTGTAGGGTTTAGGGACTTCAGAGAAGGATCGCTTCTTGAGGGAAGCACCCATGTTGCCAACTTTTCTGGATGAGCGTCCCACATCCCTGCATGCAACATGATGGCTGGAGAAGGCGGCGGCGAAGCGCAGTAGCTCTATCTCTCCATGCTCCATGGTAAGAACTTGTTTAGACAAATTTGCTGCATATACTGGCTAATTAGAAGGGAACCCTAGACCCGAAACCCTAAACCCTAAACCCGAAACCCTGAACCCTAAACCCTAAGCAGCAAGGACATGTGCTACGGGCCCTTCATTCGGCGTCTCCTCTTTGGCTGTCTCGTTTCCTTAGTAGCCCAGTACCATATTCTGGTGCCCTCCCAAAGGGTGGTTTAGGTTTTAGGGTTTAGTTTAGGGTTTACGATATTAGGGGTACCTTGTTGGGCTCCTTATTTTTCAGGATCCTACTGTTTGGGGGTCTATTTTGGGGCACCCATTTTCATAAACCCCCATCTTATGAAAAAAAAAAAGCACCTCTCTTTTTTGGGTTGATTACTTTATATAGAGGAACCCTTCACCAAAAAAATGGGGTAAAGGGCACCGCTGCACTACCAAGCTTCAACAGCACCAGCATCCATGAGCAAGCGTACAACGCCCCAGTGGCCAAGACTGCGAGCAATGCCGAGTGCTGTTCTGCCGTCCTGCATCGGCGTCTCCATTTCTGCTCCCCCATGGAGGAGTACCAGGGTCAGCTCTTCGTGACCATGTCCACAGACCACATGCAGTGGCAAAGTGCCATCTGCGGCCGGTGTGTTGGTGCGAGCCCCATGGTCCAGCAAGAGCTTTACGATTTCGACGTGTGGGAGGTAGCAGGCAGCCAGGAGTGGCGTTACCCCTTGTGAGTCTGTCAGGTCCATCCTGGCCCCGTGCTGAATCAACAGCTCTGCTGTGTGCATGTTACCTGCGAGGCAGGCCAATTGCAAAGGCCTTGTTCCGCCCGGCGTTACCACATCGGCGGCAGCCTGAGCTTGAAGCAAAAGGCGAACAACTTCTGCGTGCCCCAGTGCGGAGGCATGATGCAAGAGTGCCATGCCATGCGTGTCGATGCCGTTCACGTCAACTCCAGTGCTGAGCAGAAGATGCACCACTTCCACATGTCTGCAGGCACATGCCAGGTGCAAAGCTCTCATGATCATAGAGTCATACTCGAGGGAGGCATGGGCGGCTTTCCGGCCCCTGCCTCTGGAAGCTTTTTTTCTCCCCTTTAGCAAAGCTGTCACGATGCCCACATGCCCATTGATGCAGGCAATGTACAGTGGCGTCTGACCACCTGTAACCTGTTCGACGTCCGCGCCTGCCGCCACCAGCATGCGCACAATCTCCTCATGCCCCAGAAAGCTTGAAACAAACAGCGGCGTCATGCCGTTCGCCGTGATGCAGTGAATGTCAGCACGAGCCTTGATCAAGAACCTTACCAACTCCACGTGGCCCCCGTCGCAAGCACAGTAGACGGGCGTTGCTCCGGTGGTGCTGCAATGGTTGACATTGGCACCTGCTGCCATCAACGTGCGCGCCACCTCCACGTGGCCATGGTGACAAGCCCAGTGTATGGGCGTCGCGCCGCGTTGCGTCTGCTTGTTTGCGTTCGCGCCGGCTCCAAGCAGCAGTTGCACAACTTTCACCTGGCCTGACAGGCATGCGCAATGCAAGGGAGTTGCACCTTCCCGGGACTCCTCATGCTCGGCATCTGCACCCGCCTCAAGCAGCATGCGCGCGATTCTCCGCTGGCCCATGTCGCATGCAAAGTGCAAGGCGGTGTCGCCATGCGCGGTGGCAGCACTCGTGTCAGCGCCCTGCTTCAGCAGCCATCGCACCACCTTCCTTGGCTGCACTTAGGAGGGTAGCTATAAATTAAAATTTTAGCTGCGTAATTAAGAAACCCGATAAACCTAAACAGGCTAAAGATCTAAAGTTATAGTAAAGTACCACAAAGCTTCTTCTGGCCCTCAGCAGATGCCAGGTGCAAAGGTGCAACGCCATGGTCGTCGCCCTTATTCACATCCGCTCGCGCCTCGAAGAGCAGCTTTGCAGATCTCAACTGGCCACTTCCTATACTCCCCTTAGAACCTTAATAAGCGTACTTTTTAAGATATCCTCTAGGGTTTTGATATAAACAAAAATTTAAAAAAAAATTCCCAAAAAGGATGTTAGCTTCGGGAAGCCCAAGAAAGACAGGTGAGACCCCTGTCCCCTGGGAGATCCGGATCTTGAGGCTGTTGAAGGAAAGCTTCCACCACTGCCACGTCGCCAATGGAAGCCGCTTGGCTCACTTCTGCCAGAAGGGTGGTGTCTGGAGCTTGAAACATCAACTGAACAAGCCTTGGCTGACTTCTGAAAGCTTAACTTTTAGGCTCCTTATCGTAGTTTCTACAAAAACCCAAAGGGTTAAAGTCCTAAGAGCCAGCCAGAAGAAAGCCAAGAAGCTCCAAAGAGATTGGAAGGTCCAAGCAAGTCTCGTCGTGCAGCGTGGATCCTCTATGCAACAGCCGCAAGCGAAAGCGCGGGGATCCAGTCAAGCGCGACAGGTGCTCTTTCCTGGGTCGTTTCATACAAGGAGGGACCCCCTAATTGTAAGAAGAGCTGTAAGGACCCGAAATTGGGTTATAAGGATCCTAACTTAGGTTAGAAGACCCTTAACTAGACTTAATATAGTAAGGTGCCCCCTCCTCGAAGAGGGTTTATGTAAATGTGGGGCTTATAGGTTTCAGGGCGTAGGGGCTTGTGAACAGCTTCACTATCATGCTCGCCGCAAAGAAAACCTACAAACCCTAAACCCTAAACCCTAAACCCTACACCCTTTGTTTTGACCCCGCGATGCCCTAAACCCTAAACCCGAAACTCCCACAAAGATGTGCGACGAAGCTCAGACTTCGTACCGACCTCCCCGTGGCCGCTACCATGGCCTCATAGTCTGGCGCGGACAAAGCCAGGACCTTGGCATGCGACCACGAACCCCCCCAAAATCCCAGAAACAAAAAACAAAAAAAACGAGAAACCCTAAACCCTAAACCCTATAAACCCTTAAGAGACCGTGAACAAACACTGAAAAAGACATGGCAACCCTTAAAACCCTTAAATGCCCGAACAAAAGCATTTGGGCTCCCAGAAAAGGCAGCGTGGTTCAGCTCCCACAGTTCTCTGATTTACGGTCCCGTTCTTGCGGGGGCCGCCAAAAACTCTACCTTAGGGTAGTTGCATGGCCCCTTCTATACCCCTCATCTACCCCATAAAACCTAAAGCCCCAGACGTCGGAAGTCAACCAAGGAACCATACTAAGGGACCATGGGACTACCCTTAGATTCGACAGCAGAGGCCTGTCCTCCGAGGCCTGGGCTCTGTGAGATGATTTTTCGGGTTCAGGGCCCCTTGTGTAGCAGAATTCGTTAGAGGGGTGCAAAGCATAGCTTCGGGACTTACAGGGGAGTATAGGGTCCCAAGTCTAGAAATATTAAGACAACCGACCCCTCAGCCCTGACTCTAAACCATGAAACCCTAAACCCTAAGCCCTAAATTGTGGGCACATGTGGGCACCTCCACCCCCGATGCCATCATCCGAACTCGGAGCATGCCGGGGGCTTTCCCCACCATTCGGGTGCGCAACATTGGCATTTGGGTTTAGAGTTCAGGGTTTAGGTCTCAAAACGCCGACAAACTGTAGAGGCCCTTGGGTTAGGGTTCAAGGCCTAGGGTTTTAGGGTTTACAGGGTTTGTAGGGTTTATAGGGTTTGTAGGGTTTACATAGGGTTTATAGAGTTTCTAGGGCTTGTTGGGTTTAGGTTTCCTGCTTGGAGGATCGGGGGGCGGAGTAAGCCATTTCTTCAGTCGGAGCTGCAGCAGAACTAGAAAAATGGGCTCCGGAGCTGTTGCGCCCTGGCCTTTGATGTTCCCTGTACTAAGGTTAGGGCCTAGGGATCCCAGGGTTTAGGGTTTCGGGTTAGGGTTTAGGGTTTAGGGTTTAGGCTTTAGGGTTTAGGGTTTAGGGTTTAGGGCTTAGGGCTTAGGGTTTAGGGTTTAGGGTTTAGGGTTTAGGGTTTAGGGTTTAGGGATCTCAAACAGCACCCCCCCCATGGAAACTGAGAGCCCATGGCCGCAGCGGCAAGCAGCATGCATGGGTCGGGCACTGCCCTTCGCGCCAGGGCAGCTGTCAACAGCAAGATGCGAGCAAAAATGACGTCTTTCGTGATTTCCTAAGCCTTAAAAACCCTAAAATCCTACACCCTACACCCTAAACCCTAAACCGCGACATGGGTCCACATATATATATATATATATATATATATATAGAGTTTGAGGTTTAGGGTCTGCAGGGAGGTTTCTTGCAAGGGATGAGGCTCGGATGAGGAAGTGCGCCCTTAAGATTTTCAAGAAACATGGTGAACGTGGTTTCGGGTTTCGGGTTTCGAGTTGCTTCTGCGATGAAGCCCAAGACCCGTCAAGAACACATTCCGGGTCGGACAACTTCTCCCTAAATCTAAACCCTAACCCTAAACCCTAAACCCCTTCAAAATCGGCCCTAAGCCCCAAACTTGCGAACAGGCCCTAGCCTCCCTTGTTTAAGCAGGCTTATCTTGAAAGAGCACCTCCCTTAACGAGGGCACACCATTGGTAAGGGCTTTCTGTCGCATGTTCGCACTCAGCCCTACATAGACCCTTTTGATCCTATGTAGACCCAAAAACCCTACACCACCTCAACCCCCCCAGAACTAAACCCTAAACCCTCAACCTCTTAAGAGATCCGCAAGTCCATATGCCAGAACAAGCCACGCTTCACTTTGGGACATGACACGTCGATGTAGCGCGCGCCTTCGGAGCGGTACCGGGCGGGAAGTGATTCTTAACGGTCCCTTTAGGGTTTATAGGGTCTAGAGTTTAGGGTCTAGGGTGCAGAAGTATCTACCAGTAGTTGCTTAAGGACCCCCCCCCCCAAAAAAAAAAAAGAACTACTATGAATTCTTCCTTATAAGGTTCATATATGGAATCATTTGCTGTGTTTTTCTGGATGGTTCTTAAGCAAATAGTAGTATGGCAGAGGGTTTGGTGGTTGAGGGTGTAGGGCTTCGAATGGGGTTGCATAAATAGCAGGCCCAAACGAAGGAACCACACTCTAGGGAACCCACGACATCATTTTGCAGGGTTGCAGTGGCACACGCCATGGGTGTTCGAACTTGCTGCTGAAACCCTTAAGCCTCTGAAGCCTCCGAAAGCCTGAACGCGAAACATCCGGAAGCCCTAAACATTCCTAGCTGGCCATTTGTGGACACATGCCCCCTCAGAAAACAGCGATGAACTGCAAACACAAGGGCAAATCTACTGGGGCCGAGATTTGGGGTTTAAGATTTTTTGGTTTGCCTCCCGCCTAGGGTTTAGGGTTTAGGAGGGTGGGCTGAAGGGTTCTTCTTGCTACGGGTATAGCTGACAAAGCACAAAGGCTTCAGGGTTGAGGGTCCCTATTCGGAGGATCAGGGGGAGCAGTCAGGCAGGGTTATTGAAGAGGAGAACCTCAATTCGGGTCTTTTTCGGCACTTTTGATGCTTTGTCCTTACTCAGTAAGCCCCCCCCGCCGCCCCCGATCCTCCTAGCAGGGCTTTCTTTGGTGTTCAGGGCACGTTGACGTACTGTCTGTGAGAGAGACATCTTCGCACCATACTCCCCTTAGAACCCTAATAAAAGCAACATGTTTTATACTCCCCTGGGTTGTATACAAGTAAAAATAAACATGATTCCTAAGGGGGGGGGAGGGCTTTAGACACTAGCAAGAGGCAAGAGTGTCCAACGAAACGCGAGAACGACGTCTCGTGGAGTCTGTGCAACCTGCACCTGGTTACATATTGCCGGCAGCAGCCTGGCCCAATCACTGCACCAATGGCCCCCTTAGGAGTTGTTTTGTCTGTATAAAACCCAAGGGAACAGACAAAACCAAGCATTTGTTTATAAAGGTTCTAAGGGGAGTATAGGCACCCAGCTGAGGCGACAGCGTCTGCACGCTAATGTGGGCCCAGTCGTGCCCCACGACCTGAAGTCATCATCATAAGTTTCTTAGGTTGTAGGGTTTAAGTTCGGATGTTCGCCCGAAAACTATATAACAGTCCTTAGTAGGGAGTATAATAGGGGGTACTACAATCCCTATGAAGGACTGGAAAATAGCTTTATGTTTTTTTTTGGGGGGTGGGGGGTCTTAAGCAACCAGTAGTGGCACCCTAAACCCTGAACCCTGAACCCTGAACCCTGAACCCTGAACCCTGAACCCTGAACCCTGAACCCTAAACCCTAAACCCTAAACCCTAAACCCTAAACCCTAAACCCTAAACCCTAAACCCTAAACCCTAAACCCTAAACCCTAAACCCTAAACCTAAGGCAGCCACTTTCTCCATCATCTCCGGCAGCGAGGCAAAGTGCACCACGGTGGGAAGCCGGAAATGGTCGGCCAGCTGGAGCCAATATGACAACCTGCAAGGGGTTTAGGGTAAGTTTAGGGTTTAGGGTTTAGGGTTTAGGGTTTCTGTTTCTGTTTCCAGAAGGCTAGAGGTTTGTACGCGCCCTAATTACATGCAGAAAGTCACGCGCCTCGCAGCGGCGGCCGCCGCAAAAGGCCTGAAAAGAACGCTGTCCCTGAAGGCAGGAGGAGCACAAAGGCATACAAGCTTGCCCTGTACAACAAGGCTCCAAGCTGCTCGTAGGACAGCGGCAGCTGGCTTACAGGCTGCAAGGTCAGATACTTCAACTACTCCACTGGGCTGCCGCAAATCTGCGTCCCAACGACAGTTCAGGGTGTATCTACACAGAGTAGCGTCAGGGGTCTCCTTCAACGGCCTGCGTCTTGCCAGCGCTGTAACGATTGGGCACCAATCTATATCAGTGTCGAAACTTTGCCGCTGTAGCAGAACGTCATCAGCAGTTTCTTCGTACGGCATGCCTGCAAATGATGCTTCGAAATGTTCCAGCATGTCAAGGATCCATCTCTGCAAGTCTATCTCCTAAGGCAGGCCATTTGTCAGCAACTCCGCTACAAGCTCTTGCCGCACTCTGTCGACAACTGCAATGCACTCATCTGGATATAGAGGAAATTGTGCTAGGATCTCAAGCAGCAGCTCGTGACCACACTGCTCCTTGTCTACCTCCTCAAGCACAAACAAACGCTCACACAACTCCAAATAAGCTTCATCTGCAACCTGTATCCCCAGACCGTCAGTGGTGTTGGGAGGGACCTGAACACCAACTTGTCTTACAGGTGGGGCGGGGTGAAATTCTTGTCGTTGTCGCTTGCGCCATTCTCTACTGCCGAAACCGGGCTGCACGTCGGTGTTGTAAAGACCCAATTCACGCAGTCTGTCAACGCAGTCTGTCCAAGCACGCAAATGCGCAAGCAAACGACAATACCCATGATAATCAGTGCCGCATGCAGCACAGACAGATCCTCGAGCGAAGAATCTGTACTCTGCCCTACGCTGATGCTTTCTGAAAAAATGTGTCGCCAGTCCAGCTTTGGATTTGAAGGCTCGTCTGCAAGGCCCGCATGTCCATTGCGGAACTCCTTCAACATTGCCAACCTCACGAAGCGCTTCGCGATACATGTCTGCGAGCAAAAGCTGCTTGGCCTCAGCAGCTAGATACTCATCAAACAGGTGCTCCGTTCTGTGCTTGGCTGCTCGCTTGACCTCGGCTTTCCGGCTTTTGAAGGTGTGCCACCAGAGCGGCCAGCTGTCACTGCTGAAGCTAGGCCAGCCGTCACTGCTTGGGAGTAGCGCCCTGAAGTCGTCTGTCAAGGTCTTGAGCCAATGTTTTTCAAGCTGAAGAAGGGCCCATATGGCAGGACTGTCCGTTTCCACGATGGCAATCAGCATTCCAATCCGTCTCTGCGCCGCAATGAGGTGGAGGGGAAGGACCCTCGTGCACTCAAAAGCGAGCGCTGGCGCCACTCGGAAGTAGTCTTCTCGCTGGCACCTGTTCCACAAAAGTCTGCAAACAAGACGCGCGTAGGCGAACTCCATGTGCGCCCACGCCTTTCCTGTCGGCTCCCAAATTGCCAGATTGAAGTAAGTGGGTGTGATCAATCCAGGGAAAAGGCCGCTCTTTGTTGCCAGTGGCACATGTCGATTGTGGAAGAGTTGCTTTGCGCGACAGTCAAACGCTGACGCAGCCACACACCCCCTGCGCTTCGCTTCTGGCATGCTCTGGAAGTCTGGGTCCAGCAGGCCGCCAAGGTGCTTGTAGAGAGGGACTATCGGGATGGCAACAGTCTGTGTCGTAGCCCTTTGACAGCAAAGCTCACTGCGACCCACAGGGAAGTGCTCACGTGCAGCCTGTCTGGAGTTTCTCCCACGCATCTTCAGCAGTATCGAAGTTTTCCCTGGCTTCAGGTTCGCTTCCAAGCCGAAAGACGCGCAGGTATCCAAGACTACGCTCGCCGTGGTTTTGAGTCGGAGCAACATCCGGCGCGGATCCTTGTCCGCGACTGGGTAAACAGCATCATCCGCCCAGATCGCGGCCAAAAACTCAGCAGAGTTGTTCATGTCGCTGTCTTGCCACGGCTCAGGCACACCCGAGAAAGGCAGCGCAGTGCAAACGTCGAGGTCAGTGAGCCTGGTCTTGATCTTCTTCATCACTTTGTCGAAAATGAACGTGAAGATCACGTCGGCCCAGGCTTCGCCTGGTCTGCTGCCTGCCTTCGTGTAGCAAACTTTGTCTCCGGAGCTATAGGGCGTCACAAACCAGGTTCGCGCGTACAGGTCGCGCACCAAAGCCGCCAGATGGGAACCCATTCCAGCTTCCCTCACGAGTCCGCCTCCACGAACCGCCTCCATAAGTTCGTGCAGATCGTCTTCAGTGAGCTGAAATCTCTTGAAGAGCATGATGGTTTCCACATCAGTCAATATTCTTCCAACAGCGACTTCGCGCAGCACGCGATAGTATGCTGAACGGATGTCCAGAAACAGCAGAGCAATGCTCTGTCCAGTGTCTCGCGCCCAGCAACCAAAGAGCCGGACAGCCAGCGCTGGGAGCACAACTGGCGCGCCCTTGCGCGCACCGAAGTGCGTCGAAGCGACTATGTCCTGTATCAGCGTGCCAAGCTTTGAGCGAAGAAATTGATGATATACCTTGCCCGGCACCGAGGCAATGAAAAGTGACCTGAATGACTCAACCTCCGCTGCCAGGCCGGAGCCTTTATACGCTTCGACCAACACTCCGCCTGCCCATTGCAGCGGTTGTTGCAGCTTGGCAGTCGTCTTGAACATCAACGGCTGATATAGCCGAGCCATTAGCCCAGGCTCCGCGGCGAACAATTCTCCCGGGATGTCATCCAATCCGAAAGCCTTCCGCGGGGACACTTTGCGACAAAGATCTTCAATTTCAGCAAGCGTTGGCATCAAGTCTTTGTCCCAATCAACCTGACTTCCATCTGGTTGATACGAGGAGACTTCGTGCAAGAAGCTGTTCACTGTCATGATCTGTCCTTGTTCTTGTTCGCCAAAATGTTTCATCCACAGCTCGTCAAGTTCAGCCCTTCTGCTAAGCTGTGGGTTGTTGCTCAGGCTCACCGACGGGAGAGGCTTCGCAACTCGCCCCTGTTGCTTGCGCCCAATCCCAGCTCGTCGCAAGGCACCGACCAAAGCATTGCCACTGAGCCCACCGTATCCCTGCGCCAGCTGCTCCAACATCTGAAGCTTGTCCTGCTTGAGGATGCGCTTGAGCGTGTGCCCTGAAAAGTTGAGGGCTCCAGCAAAGACCTCGTAGAGGAGGCAGCGTTTTCTGCACCACGCATAGAAAGCGCCCCCACGTCCCTTCCAGGTTTGCAGCGCCGCTTGCACTTTTAGCCAGTCTCTTTCGCGCGACGTTAGCGCAACGCGCCTCTTCAGCGCCAATCTGCAGGCACGGACGCGCCAAACCGCCTCAGAGATGTAGGACGCCTTCGGCGCATTGCTTGGCGCAACGAAATGCTCATCGATGATATCGTGCAAGTGCTCTTCGATTTGTCGACAGTGGGCATCCGGATGTACTTCCCAGCTCACGCCTGAGAAGCGCTTAAGCTCGCGCTGAAGAATTTCTCGACCTTCATTGCTCACAATTTTTTCTCGGTCGATTTTTCTGCGGCGCAGTTTTGCGCCACTCCATCCGCCAATGCGCCAACTGAGCGTCATAGAGATGGGCCAGTGGTCTTCCTGCTGATTGGCTAGATCCAGGAAAGCTTCAATCCATGTAGACAGACTGTCTTCGATCCATCCTCCACGGACTGCCCAGTAATCTATGCGCGCTGTGGCACCGCTACTGTGCCGCCATGTAAATTGCTGCTCGCCCGAATGCATGCTAGCAAAGGTGTTTGGAGCACAGAACCCTCGCTGCTCCATCCAGTTCGCAAAGAAAATGCCTTGCTGATCCGGCAAATCAGGTTCAAGCTCACCGGTTGCTTGTCCAACCATTGCAGGCATACGTCCATTTAAGTCGATGCCAATGACAGCACCACTGCACCATTCACTAGTTTTCGCTATCGTGTCGAGGTCATCGAAGAAGCTGTCTCTTTCTTCTTTTGGTCGCTGCATGTGTGGCGCATGTCCCGCGACAATCAAGAGTGAAAATTTGGTCAGCGCAATCTGAACGGCAAGGATGCGATGCCCTTCATGCACAACTTTGATGTCCTGAACGTCGACGAAAACATTTTTACCACCGCAATGCCCAATGCCGTGTTTCCGACTGATCCAGATCTCACAGCCCCAGACGCCAGCTGAATCGCTTGCCATCCTGAGGAAATGAGACGAAGTCACCATCCCAGCTTTGCCCTTTGATTCCTGAAAAATCGCGACGTTGCAGCCCATGTAGAGCAACTGCTCTTCGATGTAGCGATACTTCAATTGCAGGCCTTGAGCATTTGCTGAAACGAGCTTCATCTCAAGCACGTTGTGGCGCGCAGCAGTTGGCTGTCCAGCAGCCGGGATTAGATGCGCAGCATCTAGACATGCTCCCTCTGAGCATCTAGCGTCTTCTTGCCATCGCACAGTGCCGTCCTGGCAAAGTGGCAACTGGTGCGTTGCAACAGTGCTTGCAAAGGCCCAGAGCCATTGCAAGTCGTTGTCCCGGACAGCCTTTATGACACACTGAGGTGGAGCAGCGTGTTCTTGGCCCTTGGCGGCCTTTTTAGCCAGTACATCTGCCAATTCGTTCCAGCCATTTCCAACATGTGCCTTGATGTGGTTGTAGCAAATGCGAAGATCTTGGCAGCAACTATGCAGCAGCTGGAACACTTGCCGCATCTTCAGCGACAGGAGGTCATCCCCAAGCTTCCAGTCCCCACTTGCAGCAAAGCCCGCACTGGTGTTGTCAAAGTAGAAAGCGATTCAAGGAAAGATGTCCCCGGCAACTGTAACACCCACAGAGCTGCCCAAAGCAGCGCCTGCCGCTCGGCTTGGCTGGCACCACATTCTGTAGCTCCTACATAAGCAGGGTGCGTCTCATTATCGGTGACAATGCCAGTCGTCGCTCCTATGAAGCAAGTTTTGTGAGAGCTGCAATCTTGCAGCAACATCACAGCTGCCCAACCACAGGCGCTTCCTCCACCAAAGGAGCCATCAGTGTATATGGCAATCCGAAGACTTGTGCATGATGTCAGTTGTGCTATAGGGACACAGGCCTCAAACTCATGAACAGTGGATGGATGCAACTTCCCGATTATGCCCCAGTCAATGGCGGCGAAGTCAATATATTCCACGATCTTCGGAGTGAATCAAATACCGACTTGCCTGGTGTGAGCTGCCAAATGACAGCGCTGATGGAAAAAGTTGCCGGCCCCACAGCTTCAGAGAGTGCAATCGTACACTTTGTTGTTGCAGCAGTTTGTGCCCTTTGCAGGAAGTCATGGAGGCGCTCCCAAAGGGCTTGCTTGCGTCTAGCATCAACCTGGTTGATCACCGTGTCGCCAACCTCCTCGAAGTTGTCGAAAGTCTCTTCGAAATCA